ATATATATCGAAAGGAAAATATAAACATAGAGGGGTTCATGCATCATGGGGAATGTTTTCATGCTTTGTGGACGTTTCAAATATCTTCCTTTATTTTAAGTGTACCTGATTAGCAGAAAACGAATAAGCCTTTGAATGTGGTGGATGATAGTCTCCTCCTACGATGCGTCAATTCCTTAACTTTTGGCAAAAGCATACTGATAATGTGTTGTAGGCCTATTTGATTGAGTGATCTAGGGTTAGAGAGAGAGGGGTGCGGCAAGCTTTAGGGAGAAGAGAGATTGATTTAATTGTGAGGTGTGTTGATTTACCCCATTGTGCCTTTATTTATAGTAGTAGAAAGGGTAAAACCTTTCCCTTTAGGATTACAACATTTAATAGGTAATCTAATCCTAATAGGAATATAAGATACATCCCCAGATTCCCTAAGATTTACACAATCACATTCCTATTCTAAATATGACTGCAACAAGACCAAAATAGTTTAGTTTGTTATATTCCATTGAGAAAGCATAATCATATTTTGCATAGTGAAGAAAATCCACAAGCCAATAGTATTGTAGATCTTATTATTAGTCAAGCAGAAAACATAAAATTAGAAAATAATAAGCATAATCATTTGTTAAACCAGTTGTTAGAGCATTTTCAAAAAAAAAAAAAAATCCATAAAAACATTTAGAGAAAATTTAGATTATATTACATCTCAGTTAAAAGATAATAATAAAAATATTCAAAGGTTTCCTAGCAAAAAAGAGATAAAAGAGCTTATTGACCTTATAGATAGTAAGCCGAAGCAGATCATTAGAAATAGTTGAGCAATTAAAATTAGAAGTTCAAAAAATTTAATTAGTCCAAAAAAATTTGAGTGAACAAATAGATAAGTTGCATAATAAAATAGATAAATTATTACTAAGTTATTTAAAGAACCAGTAGGTTTAACAGATTTTTCAACACAAGTAGCTAGTAGTAATATTCCCATTAGGCAAAATAATTTAACTATTCAATTAGTTTTAAGTTTGGTTGAGAAATTAGATCTAGTTGAAGAATAAATAGCAAAAATAAACCAAGTTTACATAACGCATCTTCATCACTTCCACCATCTTTGTTAGAAAAATTAGAAAATTTAACTTTAAGTACAAATAATCATATTAGAAGACCTAAGATAAATCATTTTGATAATAGAAAATGGAACTCATTAGGAGAAAAGGAAAAGAAGTAGTTAGAGCTGAAGATATTTACCCAAATGAAGAAAAGGCAAAAGAAGTTATTAGAAGAAGTTTTGAGAGAACATAGAAAAATAAATATAATTTGTATCAATTAGGTTTATTTGAAAATAGAAGCAGAATTTTAAGTAGCATCAGTCAACATGAAGTTAGTTGTATTGATAAAGAAGTTACACTTAATTTACTCAGTAAAGAAGCAATTACTCATTTGAGAATATCACATTTTAGTCAGATTCACATAGGAACAATATTAATTGGAATAGCAGGATTAACCAAAGCACAAGTAGGCACAAAAGCTTTAGTATACATATATGATGATAGATTGGATAATCACCAACAAGCAGCAATAGCAACAGCTAAAGTAGACTTTAAGTTCAAACCTAGCAGTCATATGATGTATTCCAAATTATGTTATGACAATTAATGAATTTAGTAAATATATTAAAGTAAGCATAAGAACAAGAAATTATAATATGAAAGGAGAGTATAAAAATTTGTGTATTAGCTTAATGTATATTGCTAAAGTGTCTAATAAATATAATCATAAGTTTAATCTAGAATTTCAAAATTTAGTTCAAACATTTGGTAGTAAACATGTAAATATGATTGAAGCAAAGGCTGTAGATAATAATTTTTTAGAAGGAACTCAGTGGATATTACCTAATTTACAAGTAGCAAGAAATAGACAACCAGATAGAGTACAAATTTATGAAACTAGTACAGGTAAAACAACAATTAGGTTTAGTAATTACAAGCAACTAAAAAAAATAGAAGAAGATGAGAGTGTGATCGAAAATGAGAGTATTCATATGGCTTTTGATAAGTTAGATATTAATTTAGTTGAACAAAATTTTGATCATATTGTAGATGAGAAGATGAGAAGATATTGATCATTTAGATGAAGAACAATATTTATAAAAATATAAGACATATGACTTAAGACTACACAGAATTTTAGATGAAGAGATGAAAAAATTAATTTTAGAAATAGGAGTAGAACATATTTTAGGATCAAAATAATATAATAATTTATTACAATTGAAAGTAAAATGTAATCCAGTAGAAGAAAGTAGTATATCAGGAGTAGAAAATCCAGGATACACAGATAGAACTGATCAACAATTTTTTAGACCAACAAATTAACATTATAAAGAACAAGTTAGGGTAGATTACATAGAAGAAAATATGATAAAACCACCTAGAAAAAATAGGATTCCATATATGAGAGTTTTAGAACAAATTAATATAGCAAGAAATATATTAAATTTAGATAATGTAGATCCACAAGATTGGGAAAGAACGATTGAGAGATGGGAGAAATGTTGTGTACATACATCATTAATGTTAGATTTTAGTAATTCACAAAATATGTTAGATTACTTTGAGTATACTTTAGATGGTTTAGTTTTTTATTATTTTCAGTCATGAAAAGTTCAAAATCTAGAACAGAATCAGGTAGCTAAAACACATTTTAATATTGATGGTTTTGTTACTTTGATTAAACAAGAATTTTTAGATCATAATAGATTAGATGGCAGAAGCGAACAAGAACAAATAAGAGCAATTAGAAATTTAGAACAATTGCAAATTTGTGATTTACAATATATAGCTGAGTATACAACATATTTCTTTAAATACAACATATTTCTTTAAATATTTAGGAAGAATAGGTAGAATTAGTGATATTAATTTATTAGATACTTATATGACAAAAATAAAAGGACCACTAGGAGAAAAAATTTGGAATGAATGGCAAAAGCGTCCAAAGAAAAATGATATTGCAATAGGACCTAGAATTCAACATGTATATGATATACTTAGGGCTGGTTTGGTATTGCTGTGCTTTGAAAAAAAGCTGCTTCTGTTGTGCTGTGAAAAAAAGCGGCTGTGAAAAAAAGCTAGCAGAGTGTTTGGTAAACTTTTTTGTGAAAGTGCTTTTGGAAAAAAAAGCAGTATGATAGTGTTTGGTAAACTTTTATGTAAAACAGCTGTGACTGTGTAAAATGACCAAAAAGGGTATAATACTAGATGTGCCATTAATTTAATTTTCTTAACCAATAAAGGTGAATTACTAAATATACTTTATTTGTAAAAGAAATTAATTTTTATAAATTTTATCTTAAATATTAATTAGTATGACAAACTACTTCAATTGAAATATTTTAGACTGAATAGTTAGAATTCATTAGTACAATATTGTTAATGTACTTAAAAGTAATCTAATTAGATGCATTCATCAAACTTGCCGCTATTCTATTTCTTAATGCTTGTATCTCATGTGATCCTTCAACTTCATAATTTTGGTATTCTTCATCATCATCATCACTACTATCGCTCTCTTCACAATAGTCCCTAGGGTCATCAAAATGACGATCACGTTCAGAATACCTCCGTATGTAGTTATGAAGAGCCATTGTAGCAATGACAATCTTCACTTGCTTATTGAACGGGTAATTAGGCATATCCCTTAAAATTGCCCATCTTTTCTTCCATACGCCAAAAGTTCGTTCAATGATGCTCCTAAGAGAAGAATGCATGTGGTTGAATACCTCTTTATGACCCGTTGGTTCAGCACCCCTACGAAAGTCCGGGAGATGATATCTTTCACCTTTATATGGTCCCAAATAACCTCTCATTTGTGGGTACCCCGCATCCACCAAGTAATATTTTCCTGACAATTGAAAATTTTGTTTTGTATTGTAATAATTATACAAAGCAAGTATGTAAAATGTTATAATAATACAAAGCAAGTATGAAGATTACCATTTGGAGGCTTAGAAAAGTTTAAATTTAGATTCCGTAGCACGGATAGAAAAACCCTTGTATCATGTGCAGTGCCTTCCCATCCGGCACAAGCAAATGTGAATTGCATGTCAAAATTACATGCAGCCATAACATTTTGAGTCGGTATTCCTTTCCTACCAATGTATGGAACTTGATCCGGAGGTGGTATTGAAGCCTCAACATGTACTCCATCTATAGCACCAATACAATCCTAAAAATAATAACATAGAAGAAAAGCGTCAACCTACACTTCTAGTTTGCAAATAAGTTAGAAGACGAGTCAAATTTTACCTTAAAATAAGGCATGTATCTTGTATCTCTCCTTATTTCTTGGGGAATGCCACGAAACTCCGAATCCATCGGTTTGATAATATCTATTGCCATCTTACATACGATATCCAACATAGCACCAAAATATCTACTAACAGTCTCACCAGAATGTTGAAATCTCTCTTGCGCTAATCTATTTTTCACACCATGTCCCAACATATGCAAGAACATTCCTAATATTTCAATTGCACTCATTCTCCTTAAACCTTTCAATCCATAATTAGTTTGCAAGTCATTGGATAATCTATAAAAGACATCTTTGTTCATCCTAAACATTCTATAGTATCGCACATGATGTCCTTGTAGTACTTCTATCAACCAAATATTACCTGTTTGGGAAGAATTCATACACGGAGTTTTGTGGACATATTTTAAATAATATGTTTCAACAGCTTTCGCTACAGCACATATAATTAGACCATCCTCCAAATCCTCAACATCATCATCATCATAAGTGTTCATATTGAATATACACCTGTAACATAACACATAATTCAACATTCCACAAATCATAATCCAGCGATCACTAAGAAATCATAATCCGACATTCATGAATAATCCAAAGTTTAATAAAAAATCATAATCCAACATTCAATAAACACAAAGTACAAGCAACATTAAATAAACACGAACCACACAGTCCTAATTCATAGTTTTAGCTCCTTATTGTTCTTTGTTGAACATATATTTCAACCAAGTTAGCTGCACTTCAGGATCTTTCATAGTGGCAAACATCTCTCGCTTCTCTGCACTACAAAATAAACATGTAGCAAACAACCATAGCTCGCTAGGTGGCTCACAACCAGGCAATTTTGCAACAGACGCTATCACTTCCACAATACTACTGCCTAAATTTAGCGGCCTCATCAATGAGTTTGCAGAACTCCTACTTTCATAAACTTCAACAAGACGGTCAATTTGACTAGAAAGTTTTGCAACACCTCCAATTTTTTTTCCTTTCTTATCAACCTTCTTTTGTAATTCTCCTTGGTTAGTCGCTCTTTTTTTTCCCTTCCTAGTAGCTTGCCTTAGATCTTGCATAGTCTCACTTTCTTCCTCATCATCTAAATCAATTTGTCTTATGGATTCCTCTCTTGTCTCTGGTGGTAGTACTCCAGATGAAGGTGCCCAGGCATGTTCACCGGTAGCAACTGTGTTCGAGAACATCCTATCTAACTTTTCCTCCATCTCAGGACTAATGCCCTTTTTTCGCAATTTTCCATATTCTTTGTTTATCTACAAGTAAAGAAAGAATATAGTTAATACATATTGCATGATATCATAATACATATTAAAAGATAAAAACACAAACCTAAATTTTATTATTCGACCACTCCTCAGAGGCATCAACGGTACCCTTGTTCGAATTCCACCCTAGGCCAGTTTCTTTACCAACTAGCTCTTTCCACAACTTCCACTCATTTTTAAGTGCATCCCACTTATTTTTCAGTTGCTTTCTTTCATAATCATGCCCTGTCTCTGCCTTGAAGTTAGCTCTAATATTTGCATATCCTTCTTTGTCAAAGTGAGTGCCCGGACGATGTCCGGCCTCAACCTCCTTGATGCATAGATCACAAAATATAGATATATTGTGGGCATTCCATGTAGCAGTAGGATTTGACGAAGATGCTCCCTTATTTGCCATCTATACCAGCTAGTGATTTGTATATATACATATATATATATATATATATATATATATTAAAACAAGAACAAATAATATTGTAATATAACTTCATACCTATTAACCAAGAACAAATAATATTGCCATCTAATAATATTGTAAAACAAGAACAAATAATATTGCCATCTTTATAGCTAATAATATTGCCATCTTTATAGCTAATGCATAGTGGAACATCATCCCCCAAATAATATTGCCATCTTTATGTCTTTCTCATCCTGATTGTGTCATATCAATGGTGATGAGTGATGGTGATGGTGGAGTATCCATGCAGACCCATTGCCCATCCCTAGGACCCTAGCCACATTACTCTCCCCCATTTTTCTGGTAGTTCTCTGCATTAGGATCTGGGTTATATCCTTGAAATGTGTGTTAGGAAAACTGCCTGACAGATTGGTTAAAATCTTCTGATTAACTTATTTTTGGACTTTCTTTATGAAATTGTGGTTTTGAAAAATATCACTCATAGAAAGCTCCAAAGTCAAGATTAAGCATTTGCAGTGTTATCCTATCCTTATCATGCACCTGAAAAGATTAAGCATTTGCAGTGTTATCCTATACTTATCATGCACCTGAAAAATTATGACCTTATGAGACTAAAGTTATCTGGCAAGAATGATGTTAAAAGAGTTTCTGTACTTATTGTATTACTAATATCTTTCTATTTTTTATAGGCTTTGAATAAGTTCTTTGAGAACGTATTACAGGTAATTTCAAGTTGAGTTTTACTCGGAAGCTCCTCACACTGTCAAACATAGCTTGCAGTGTTGTTCGCTGTGCTGTGATTGCAAGTCCAGGTTTCACAAAGGTGTGATATGACTCTGAGCTTTTGAAACTCATTAGTGTGACATTGCGAATCGCCTTCAAGCGTTATAAAGCATAATACAATTTGTTTGATACTAATCTGCATTCTTATCTGCTTCAGGATCAAACAATAGTTCAACAGTTTTCACTATAAACTAGATTATAAGTATGTTAAATTTATCTTCTTTAATATTAGAAAGATTTATACGACATTTATAGCATTATACAGTTTTTGACATCTATTCATATGTAAGCTAATCAAATGGGGCACGCTTTCTTTTAAGCAGCCCTAAAATGGAAATACAACTTCACATGCCAAATTGTGAACTATCATATTAGTCCCTTCCAGTTTTTTTCTTTGTTTTGACGAAAGGGAAATTGCTTTTTAGACAAAAGGGAAATTGCTTTTTAGGCTTTCAATTGTCCCCCTAGTATGAGGAGGGAAGTTTTCCAGTTCTGGAAGTGAAAAATGCTTATGAAAAGCAAGCAAATGCTTGTGATTACTAGAACTAACTATTTTCACTTTCTCACTAATCTAACCTTTTTTTTCTTTAATTTCTGGAATCCTTCATATTGCTCCTGTTGTTATTCTTGTGCGGATACTGAGGTAAATCGAAGGTGTATATATTAACTTTCTTCCCCACAACCATTACCAAACAAAGCAAACTATATTAAGCCCTGTACAAGACTTGTGGAATCAGCTCTATTTTACGGGATAACAAACAAGCCAATTAAACAATTAAAGTTTGGGTTCCCAGAAAACTAACAAACAAAGTTAAAACTCCAACAAACAAAGCAACACCATCGTTGCCAATCAAACCCTAAGAACTGAAATTGTTTCATGAATCTCATGATAATAACCTTAATTCAAAGCGAGTCGAGTAGTTGGTACCTGGAAGGCGACGGCGGTGTGGCGTTGAGAGTGACGGAGAGAAACGAAAAGGAGGAGGAGGAAGAGGTGCAGCGGCGGGAGGGAAGAGGGGGAGTGCAGCGGCGGGAGTTTTTTGCAACAGAGAAAGAGAGAGTGCAGAGTGTAGAATCGGGAGAAGGAGAAAGGAGAAAGGAGGGGGCAGTTTTGGTAAATTGAAAAAATTCATTAATTGGTACTGTAGCTCCGCGTTTTGGAAAAAATAAGCGGCTTCTGGAAGCTGCAAAATGCAGCTTCCACTTTTTGGCTTTTTTTCATGTGAAACTTTGAAATAAAGCTGTTTTGGGATGTTTACCAAACACCAAAATCCTTATCAGCTTTTTTTCATGGCAGCTTTTTAAAAAAGCACCTCAACCCCAAACTGGGGCTTAGACAAGAGTGTAGTCAAATAAAAGCTAAGAGAGATTAGGAAACAATTTTACATGAGTTGTAAAAATATAGGCTTACCTCAACTGTATGGTTGTCATAAGAAAAATAAGCATAAGAAAATATACAAAAAGAAATGTAAGTCATACAAACCATATGAACAATATAAGAATTTCAGCATAAGACCTTTAAGAACAAGTAGGAGAGAAAATATATTTCGAAACAATTTAAGAAAAGAAGTGGCAGATCTTAGATTAGAAAATATAAAGTACCAAAAGATAAGAGTAGTTGTAAATGTTATTCATGTGGTGAAGTTGAACATATTAGACCTAAATGTCCAAAATTAGGTAAACAACTGAGAGAAAAAGTACATTTAATGGAGTTGTTTAAGTTAGAAAAAGATGAACATATTCCGTCAATATACAGTTTAGATGATTTAAGTGATAATGAGAATATTTATAGTATAGAAACTATAAATATGATAGATTCAGGTTCGGAAGATTCAAGTAGTTCAAATAGTGATTTAGAAGAATATATGTGTGCATTCATAGAAGAACAACATGAAGAAGAGTATAAATATATTAATTTAGGTTGGCCAGAAAAATGTCATAACTGTAACAAGTTAGTAGCAAATAAGTACTATAATACATATTCAATATCAAGTGGAAAGTGTTATAGTAATAGGTTATTGGAAGTTAATTCAACAAAATCACAAGAAAATACTGAAATATTATGAAATACTTTTCATAGTTTAGAAAAGCAAAAAAATAGTTCTTTAATTACCATAAATTGTGAGATAGAATTGGCAAAAGAATATAAGATACAAACAGTAGCTATGATAGATACAGGGAGTATAAAGAGTATCATAAGAAAAGAGTTATTACCAGAAAAATATAGATAAAAATCAGCAAAACCAGTGAGAATAACACAGTTTGATGAAAGACCAGTTGATTTAACACATTGTATTAATAATGAGTCTATTAAAGTAGAAAAACAACAATTTAATTTACCATTAACATTTGTTTTACCATTAGGATCATACCCATTCATTTTAGGTATAAACTTTTCGAAAAGTTTATAAGGTTTTTTATTTATAAATCCTAACATAACATTTTTCAAAAGAGGTATCACAATAACTGACCAAAGTAATATTGTAGAAGCATACAAAAACATAAGTATAGAAGAGTCTAGTGGCCAAGATAGTTATTATTTAGAAAACTCAAAAGAAAATGATGAGCATAATAACATAGAAGAGTTTGATGAAGAAATATATGAACATGAATATCCGATTTTAGAAGAAGAAAAAACCCGTATAGAAACATTACAGCTAGATAGACCAAGGAACTGTAATAAACTAAAGAGTTTAGAAGAATTATTACAATTAGCAGAACAAACTAGGATTAAAGGAGAATACCCACAGTTACATTGGAGTAAAAATAAAATAATACCAAAATTAGATATAATTAATTCAAATTTAACCATAAAGACAGCTGATATGTCTTGTAGTTTAATAGATAAACAAGAGTTTGATCAACACATAAAAGAGTTGTTAAATTTAAAAGTAATGAGACCTTCTAAGTCTAGACATAGATCAACAACATTTATTGTGAGAAAACATTCAGAACTAAAAAGAGGTAAGGCTAGAATAGTTTATAATTAAAAAAGATTAAATGATAATACATATGAAGATAGTTATAAATTACCAAATAAGGATGGGCTTATAAATAAAATTCAAGAGTAAATATTTTAGCAAATTTGATTGTAAATTAGGATTTTAGCAAATACAATTAGCAAAAGAATCAATTGAGTGGACAACTTTTACTTGTCCAGAAGGATATTTTGAGTGACTTGTTATGCCATTTGGACTTAAAAAATGCTCCATCGATCTTTCAAAGAAAGATGGACCAAATTTTCAAAAAATATGATAAATTTTGTAGTGTTTATGTAGGTGATATTTTAGTACATAGAAAAAATAGAAATGAACATAGGAAGCACTTAGAGATAGTTTTACAAGAATTTATTAATAATGGAATTGTGATTAGCAAAAATAAAATAGCATTAGAAAAGCAAGATATAGAATTTTTAGGAATGTATATTAAGTCAGGTACAATAAAATTACAAGATCATATAGCTAAAAAAGTCTTAGAATTTCCAGATAAGTTAGAAGATAAAAAATAGTTACAAGTATTTTTAGGATTGTGAAATTATGCAAGAAATTTTATCCCTGATTTAGGAAGAAAAATAGCAGTATTACATAGTAAAACTAACAAAACAAGACAAAAATATTTTAATAGTGAAGATATTAAATTAGTTCAAAATATAAAGGAAGAAATTACTCAACTCAAGCCATTAACATTACCATTAGATTATAGTTACAAAATAGTTGAAACAGATACTTCATCATTAGGATGCGCAAGTATACTATACCAGAAAAAACATAAGGAGTTACCAAGGTCTGACGAACAAATTTGTAGATATTCATCAGGAAAATTCAGTGATGTATAGTCAAGATTACCGTCAATAGATTTAGAAATTTTATGAATAATTAACTCACTTGAGGCATTTTCTTTATTTTTACATAATGAAGTATTTACTATTAGAACAGATTGTCAAAATATAGTTTCTCATTATAACAAAATACATGCTAATAAACAACCAGCCCGAAGTTGGGTTAATTTTGTTGATTCAATTACAGGAAATGGTTTTAAACCAATTTTTTAACACTTAAAAGGTAGCGACAATACATTAGCTGATATCTTATCAAGATTAATTTGTTGAACAAGAATGGAATATCGCGGACCATCATCCTCAAATAGCACAAGACCACAAGGCAGAAGAACACTTTTCAGTAGCATAATAATGC